TCCGCGAGCACCGTAGTGCTCGCCGAAAAGACCATCCCCATCATCCCAACCCCCCGGCGACCCCCTCCGCCCTCGCCGCTTGCCCCGCCAACGGGCACTGCGCGACCCACCCATCTCATCAATCCAGTTCCAGATCAATTGATCTTCTTGGGCAGCAGCTGGTTCGACAGGTCCTCTCCGTGGCCTAGGCAGCCGCTTTCGCCCTTGCCCCAAGCGAAAGTGGCGCCGTCAGTGGTGATAGCAATGCTGTGGCTGCTTGCAGCGAACACAGCGACGACGCGCCGCCCAGCCAACGCCTCGATCTTCTTGGGCAGCAGCTGGCTCTGCTCGTCGCCGTGGCCCAGCCGGCCAAAGTTGCCGCAGCCCCAGCTCCAGACACCACCGTCGGCGGTGAGGGCGAGGTTGTGCGCGTCTCCAGCCGACACGACGACGACGCGCTGGCCAGCGAAGGCCTCGATCTTCTTGGGCAGCAGCTGGTCCTGCAGGTCTCCGTGGCCCAGCTCGCCAAAGCCTCCAACGCCCCAGCTCCAGACGGCGCCATCGGCGGTGATGGCGATGCAGTGGCTGCCTCCAGCCGACACAGCGACGACGCGCCGCCCTACCAACGCCACGATTCTCTTGGGCAGCAGCTCGGTCTGCCCGTCGCCGTGGCCCAGCTTGCCACGGCCTCCATCGCCCCAGCTCCAGACGGCTCCGTCGGCGGTGATGGCGAGGCTGTGCTGGTAACCAACCGACACAGCGACGACGCGCTGCCCCGCCAACACCTCGATCGTCTTGGGCAGCAGCTGGTTCTGCCCGTCGCCGTGGCCAAGCTTGCCGCAAAGACCAGCTCCCCAGCTCCAGACGGCGCCGTCGGCGGCGAGGGCGAGGCAATGGAGGGACCCAGCCGACACGGCGATGACGCGCTGGCCCGTCAAGGCTTCGATCTTCTTCGGCTGCCACTGGGCCTGATCGTCGCCGTGGCCCAGCTGGCCAGAGCCTCCCCAGCCCCAGCTCCAGACAGCTCCGTCGGCGGCGAGGGCGAGACTGTGCGCGTGTCCAGCCGCCACGCTCACGGCGCGCTCGCCGCCCAGCGGGGAAGGGAGGCGTGTCGGCGTGTTGAGCCGCATCACGCCCTCGCCGTGCCCGAATAGCTCTGGAGCGTAGGACGGCGCCGAGCCGCACGACGAGAGCCGCCCCTCGCCGTCGATGAAGAGGCTGCTCCGATAGCCTGCCGCCACCCTCGCCGGCGGGTTGGCCTCGCGCAGCAACGCCATAAAGCACAGCCACCGCACGACGCACTCGTCCTCTGGCTGCGCCGGCAGCTCGAAGCCGCGCTCTTGCGCCCACAAGCGGATGCCCTCCAGCGCCAGCGAGGCGTGGAAGAGCAGCGAGACGGCCGCGACGCGAGCGATGTCGGCGGGGTCGCAGCGAGAGATGACGCGCGCGAGAAGCTCAAGGGGCAGGTCGGTGAGGGGGCAGCGTGCGGCGGCGGCGGAGGCGGCGGCGAGGCGGCGCGAGCGGCGTTGTGGGGTGCTGGACATCGCGAGGAAAAGAATTCTTAAGTTACAAGCCTCTCTCACAGCACACTGGCACGACAAGGGCGCAGACTGGCGCGTACTGGCACACACACAGGCTCACCACCGGAGCCGCCTAAGCGACTCCGTTAAGAACGGCAATGCACTCCGCACCATGCACAATGCCGCTCTCCCCGCACGCTAGCTCGTTCACCGTCTGCCACGCCACGGCGGTGTGGAGGACGACAGACAAGCGCTGCATCTGCAGCCCGTGCCAGTTCTTGGTGGTCCATGTGACCTCGTCCAGGTGCTGAGCGTGCGAAAGTTTATTGCTCAGCTGGTTCGCCGCCTCCCTCAGGGTGCTGCGAACCTCCTTTCCAAAGCCTCCGAAAGCCTCAAAATCAAACAAACGTAGATCGCAATCCTGCTGCCGCGCAAAGGGGTAATCGCCAGGCTGCTCCGTGAGCTTTCCCTTGGAAAAGAAATAACGCCGCGGAATCAACCGGACAAGCGCGCACTTGGCGGCGGCGCGCCCGCTTACAGTATGGCTAAGGGCAACAGGGCGGAACCTGAGCAGCCTCTCACGCCACTGCAGGGGAGCCGGGACGTGCTCCACCGCACGCCTCTTCCGACAGGTATATTGGGTGCGCGACGCGATCCACTTCAAACTCTGGATAACTCCGCGCCGCGCCACAAGAGAAGTGCACTAGGCCACAGCCACTCGCCCCAACGACGCCGTCCCCATCTCCTCGCGAAGCCGACCCGCCCGCGGCGGACCCCCCACCTCGTCCTCGCCGAGCTCGAGCGAGCGCTGCTGCGACTGCTGCTGCGGTGCCGGGTGCCGCTGCCGCTGCTGCTGCTGCTGTTGCTGCTGCTGCTGTTGCTGCTGCCGCCGTTCGCCCACAAGCCTGACATGAGGGCGAGGGTCGCCTGGCAACAGACTTGGGGCAGTCTATTTGGTCTAAACTCTCGCACCTGTCGAGTTCGGCGCGCAGCTCTACCGCCACGGTGGTGGCCTCTGCCTTTGCCGCGCGCTCCTCGTGAAGCTGAGCAGAGGGCGGAGTGGAGGGAGGGCGCAGCCAGTTACAGGGCCGCGCCGGGCGAGGGAGTCTAGGCACGCGGGGCGGCCGTCGCACCTGCCGTGTCACCTCGCGGAACCCCTCGTTCTCTGCGACGCGCTGGCTCTCGAGCTGCGCCAACCGCCCCTCGAGGCTCCCGATCACCGCCTCCTGCGGCACACGAGCGCACGCCGGACCTCGGCCGTGCTGGAGATAGGCGCGGAAGGGGGGGCGTGCGCACACAAACCAGCTCGGGGACACGCGAGGCGGCGGCCCTCCCCTTGGCCTCGGCGGCACGCGTGGCCGTGTTGGCCGACCATACCGCCTGCTCGTCGCGCTGCATCTTCTCCTCGAGCGTGGCGATCTCGCGCCGGAGGCCTTGTATATCCCTGTCCCGCTCGGCGAGGAGGTCGCGAAGCGCCTCCACCTCATCGCGCGCGCACGAAACCTCTGCCTGGAGCTCGCTCGCGCGTTCAAAGTGGTAGGTGCCGCCTGGCCGGCGCAGCAACCTCCTCATCTCTGACTCAAGCACCGGTAGCACGCCGCGTAGGCTCGTCTGCTGCGCCGCCTCGCGCGCGGTGCGTAGCGCATCGAGGCAAGCCTCGGCGCGGGCACGGCATGGAGGCCACCTGATGGAGCGATTGGGGTCTGTGCTGATACCGGCGATTACCGTGGGTGGTGCCCTGCACTCATCTCGTGTAGCAGCAAGGTCGCTATGGGTGTCGCTTTACCGGCGATTACCGTGGGTGGTGCCCTGCCCTCATCTCGTGTAGCAGCAAGGTCGCTATGGGTGTCGCTTGTTTACGAAGAGCTGCTCCTGGCGTCGGCTATGGGCGAATATTGTTTTCAAAGAGCTTGGTGCAATGCGTTTTGTCACATTGCCGCACACCTTGCGGTGGTCTCGAGCACCTCACGGAGCTCGACCTCGCAGCGCAGGATATCCGATTGGTAGGTCTCGGCCTGAGTCGCCAGCTCTGATGGGCGCGGAAGGCCTTCGAACGCGGCTCGAAGCCGCTGCGGGGACCTCTCTGAGGCATGCATGGTGCCGCGTCTCGGGTTGAGCGCCGGGAGGGAGTGAGAGTGGCCGAGCGTCCTTCTGGGCGCGTCAGGTCGCCAGCTGGGACGCGCGCCATCGTCGCCGGCGCGAAGGCGAAGCCGCTGGCCGCTCGCATTGGCGACGGCGGCCTCGAAGCCACTGCTCGTTTGGGCGGCGCTCTCTCGCGCGCGCATGTATCGCATGTATGTGCACCGTGTCAGCTGAAACGACTCACAAAGCTTCACAATCAGACGACACAGACACAGATCACTCGGCGAAGAGTCATAGACATACGGCGTCAACACTCGGACGGCACACTGGGTTCCAGGAGGGCGATCGTTAGCTCTCAGCTTAAGAAAGAAACAAATCAGTAACCAGCCTCCGGCGGGGCCCCCCGCTACCATCCAAACCCGAGAACAAAGCGCGCCTCCTGCGCGCCTCTCCGAGGCGCTGCGCAGATGGTCTACGAATCATAGAGGCTCAAGTGACAAGTCCACACACACACGCGCGGGGGACACACCGCGGTCACCCGCGGGTGCCATCTGCCATACACAAAGCATTACTCTCACGACACACGGGGATCGGGTGGAGCGGCGGCGGCGGCGGCAGTGGCATGCGCGGGCGGACGGACGCGGACGGGGCGGAGCAGCGACCGCCTGGGCGGACCGCTGCTCTGTCTGCCAGAGCGCGCCGTCTGTGCGCAGCTCGAGCGCGGTCAGGTGCACAGGGAAGCGTGGCGGCGCGGGGAAACGCGGCGGCGGTGGCGAGCAGGCGAGCGGCCCGCGCGCGGCGAGGCGGACAGGTGATCGGCAGGCGGGTGATGGGCCGCAGAGTGACCGCGCCCAGCGATCGGAGGCGAGCCGATCGTCGCTCGGCCGCAGCTGACCTCGAAGGCGTGCGGAGCGCGACTGTCGGTGTCGGGGGGCGGCCGTCATGTGGCGAGGAGGGAGGACGACAAGTGCGCGTACGGCTCGCTCTTCATCGGGCAGTCGAGCGGACGGGCGTCGGTCAACGCAAAGAGGGCCGGTGAGGCCGGCGAGATTCGTTGCGAGATACGGTTCGCGCCCAAACAAGTTTGGACGCTCTGGGGACGCGCCGAAAAACCAACTCGATGGAAAGGGGGCTACTGGGGCGGCCAATTCACACCTCGCGGGACTACTTATGTTTTCGTAAACGTAGTCGTGGCCCCCCGCTACGTCGCACGAGTGCAACTGGGTAGCGGGGGGCTAAAAGGGTAAGAATCTCCACCTTGAGAAATAATTCATTTAAATCAAAAAAATCGAGCACAATTGCGTTACATGGGCATGGCCGGGGTTTCTGCACCGAACGATCTTACTTTCGGTCTATCGAAAGTGTTGATCGATAAAAATTCTTTTTGTAACGTCTCGCCAGTCCCACCAGTTGCCGCCCATGGCAGCGAGCGGGCAGCCGCGCAAGCTGCAGGAGCAGGTGGCGCATGGCGGCCCCGTTCGGTGCGTGCACATCGGCCGCAAGTCCGGCGGCGTGATGGTGACGGGTGGCGACGACAAGAAGGTGAACCTCTGGTCGGTCGGCCGCCCCAACGCGATCCTGTCCCTCGCGGGCCACACCAGCAGCGTCGAGTCGGTCTCCTTCGACTGTTCGGAGCGGACCGTCGTCGCCGGCTCGGCCGGCGGCACTCTGAAGATGTGGGACCTCGAGCACGGCCGCGTGGCGCGCACGCTCACCGGCCACCGCTCGAGCGCCATCACGGTCGAGTGGCATCCGTACGGAGAGTTCTTCGCGTCGGGCTCGGCAGACACGTACCTCAAGGTGTGGGACATGCGCCAGCGCGCGTGCATCCAGACGTACCGGGGCCACGCCGGCGCCGTGCGCAACCTCCTCTTCTCTCCCGACGGCCGGTGGGTGGTCTCTGGCTGCGACGGAGGCGAGGTCAGGCTGTGGGACCTGACCGCGGGCAAGCTGCTGACGGAGCTCTGCACGCACGCGGGCGCCGTGTCCGCTCTCGCGATCCACCCGACCGAGTTCCTTATGGCGACCGCCGCCGCCGACCGCACCGTCCGCCTCTGGGACCTGGAGACGTTTTCGCCGGTCGGGGCGGCGCTGCCCGAGCCCGGCGGAGGGTCGCGGCGGGTCGCCTTCACGCCAGACGGGAGCGCGCTGCTCTCGGCGGGCGAGGAGTCGCTGCGCGGGTGGGGGTGGGAGCCCGCCCGCTGCCATCTCCACTCCGAGACACGCTGGTCGCGGCTGTCCGACTTTTGCATCGTCGGGGGCGGCGGGGGCGGAGGAGGGGAGCGGGAGGGAGGAGAGGGGGAGGTGCTGGCTGCGGCCCTCCACGAGTGCGTGGTCACCGTGTGGGGAGTCCGCCTCGACGAGCTGCGCGGGCTCGGCCACCCTCCGCCCGCCGGCGCGGCTCGACTCGAGGGCGGGGGGAGGCGCGAGGGCGCGAGGCACGAGGGCGGAGCCAACCACCTCGCCTCCGCCTCCTCCCGCCCCGCCTCCGCCTCCTCCCGCCCCGCCTCCGCCTCCTCCCGCCCCGCCTCCGCCTCCTCCCGCCCTGTCCCCGCCGCTCGCAAGGCGGCCCCCGCTCCCGCCGCCCCTCCCGCCGCCGCTCCCGCCCCTGCCGCTCCCGCCCCTGCCGCATCCGCCCCTGCCGGCCCCGACACTGCTGGCCTTGACGAGGGCGACGAGCTGTCGGTGTCCGCCTGCGCGCGTATGCAGATCGCCGGCTGCCGCGCCCAGATCGCCGCCGTCCGGCGCGGAAGGTCCGCCTGCCACGGCGCTGCAGCTGTCTCTGGCGCCGCCGCCGCCGCCACAGCGGCTTGCTTGAGGCCGGCGGACTTCGCCGCCGCCGACGTCCCCGCCGCCTCTCTGGCGGAGGGGGGCGGCGCTCGCGAGGCTGGCCGCGGGGGAGGCGGCTGCAGGGCCGCGTGCGCGGAGCAGTCGGAGCCGCTCGCCACCGCAGGAGGACGGCACAAGTCGGTCGGCACGTCGATGGGAGACTCTCTCTGCGGCGGCCTCGCGCCGGCGGCTTCCTAGACACTTCCTAGACGCCTCCTAGACACCTCCTAGACACCTCCTAGACACTCCCTCGCCTCCTCCCACGAAGAGTGACGCGCCTCTCGCGCGCGCGCCACCCCGGCGCCGGCCCCCCTACTGACGCACTCCCGCTTCCGCTGCCGCGCCGAGCGAGAAGCTCCTGTGGTGTGAACAGCGTCTCTCCACACGTACTGCTGTGAACAGGCGACTGCCGCGTCGAGCGAGAACCTCCTGGGGAATGCGCAGCTCCCTCCGCCGCGATACCCCGCGACGCGCGCGCGCAAGGCGGCGTCGGCCGCACCGGCGCCCGCGCCCGCGGCGGCTGGCTGTGGCGAGGGCGGGGCGGCGGGCGGCTGCGGCGGGGCGCGGGTCGGCGAGGCGCGCGGGCTCGAGGAGGCGCGCGGGCTCGAGGAGGCGCGCGGGCTTGACCCGTCCGAGGCGCGCGGGCTCGACCCGTCCGCATTCCTGCCGCGGGCAGGGGGCGGCCCTGTGCCCCGAGACGAGGAGGCGCTGCTGTCGGCGCTGCTCGCCCCGTCGCCGCTGCAGGTCTCTTGCCTCTCGGCGCGGCTGACGGCGCTGAGGGCTCTCGGCTGCTACCACGCGGCGGGCGACTTCAAGGCGACGCTGCAGCCTCCTCGGTTGGGCGGAGGGGGGGGGGGGGGATTGGGCTCCTTCTCTGACCCTTCCTGCGGCCCTTGCCGCCAGGCGATGCTGCAGCACCTCGCGCGGCTGGGGGATGCGTCCGTCACGGTGGACGTGTTGCGCACGGGCACGTTGCGCCGCGTCCCGCTAGACCTGGAAGGGGCGCTGCTGCTGCTGCCCACGCTCACTCAGCTCCTCGCCTCCTCCCACGAAGAGTGACGCTTCCTAGACACTTCCTGGACACCTCCTAGACACCTCCTAGACACCTTCTAGACACCTCCTAGACACCTCCTAGACGCCTCCTAGACACCTCCTAGACACCTCCTAGACACTCCCTCGCCTCCTCCCACGAAGAGTGACGCTTCCTAGACACCTCCTAGACACCTCCTAGACACCTCCTAGACGCCTCCTAGACACCTCCTAGACACCTCCTAGACACTCCCTCGCCTCCTCCCACGAAAAGTGACGCGCCTCTCGCGCGCGCGCCACCCCGGCGCCGGCCCCCCTACTGACGCACTCCCGCAACACGTAGGCACGCCGAGGCGTCGCTCGACGCGCTCTCGCTGGTCCTCTCAAGCTTTGGGTCGGTGGTGGCCGCGGCAAGGTCGGCGGCGACTGGCGGCGTCGGCGTTGATCTGAGCGGCGAGGCGCGCGCGCGCCGGTGCCACGAGTGCTACGACCACTTCGACGCGATCCGACCGCGGCTGCGGGAGCTCGCAGCGGGCGACGGGGCCACGCAGCGACGCGCGGTGGACTTGCTGCAGG